TGACTGACAAGAGATTTGGAATAGAAATCATTATTTCAAATCCCATGAAAGGAAGTTTGAGCCAGGCTTTGAATAGAAGAAATTTGGTCTAGTTTTAAGAAAAAATGGTGTGGGTCATATTAAGCCTGAACAAACACTACAGGAAATCTCAGCTCTGATTCACATGCTATAATGCAGCGTTTTCATAAGGAAAGCTCAGATCTTTCTGCAGCAGTCTGGGGTATAATGAGGGTTGAAGCATAAGACCATATATGTGGTAATTGCAACAATACTATGYGATATTTACCGTGCTTATTATCTTCAAAGTGTTTTACAAACAACAGATAATTGAATTCTTACATTTTACAAAATATAAATAGATACTTCTTTACACAGGAATAACACAAGCAGAAACGAAGTGCAACTTATCCATGTCTAGCAGGAAGCAGCATTTTAAGTGGGACTGCTGCTCTGACATTATTGATATTCTTGCTCTCCACTTAAAAGAGTGAAAATATTGAGTTTTGTGGAACAGTCACCTTCATACACAGAGTACAAAGTGTGGCATATCTGTTAGGAAATAGATTGTACAGGAACAAYGTTCTCACTGCAAGCATTTTCTAAATATTGTGGGCCAGAATTTCCTGTTGGCATAACTCTGCYGACCTGAGAACTTGATGATTCTTCATTGCTGTTAACCACACATTTATTTCCAACAATCCATAGACTGTGGGATGTCATAATTAAACATCTATGGGAYATATAATTACATTCTAACTTGCAGAGATGCGAAGTTCTTTGAAACCAAGGTAATTTAAAATATTTAAATTCAGCTAGTGCAAGCAATGATGAGTAATAAAATAGCAAAGTAATATTTATTTTTCCTTTTAAAAATGTGAAATCTGTTCTTCCAGMAGACAAGTTAATGTGAAGCCGGTGAAATACTTATAAGCTTCTTTTGTTGGAAAAGCAAAAACAGTCTTTGCTTCCTRCTGGATATGACAAAGCCCTGTAATGCCACGGATGATCCAACTTTTAGACCCTGTTAGAATAGGGAGAGAGAAAGAAGAATGAATTTACAAACTGAATAGACATATTACTCATGTGCCACCTTACTAACCTGTGGGGGTCCGAGATGTGAACTCTGGATCAAAATGAAAGGTGTCTTCTGGCCGCCCCACTGCGGGCTTGAAAGGCGGCTTGATTTCTTTCCTGTACAGTTTCTGCAAGGAGAAGAACAGATCACAATCACCATCCRTGTGAGCACCCTCAGCATCTGGAGGCAGACTCCCCTACTTTCTTCAGGGTGTCCTTTCTCAGCTACATGCTATCCTTGCAGGACTGACAGAAAAGGATGATGTACCCACGGTTCTGGCTCTAGCTTGACAGGTCAGCTTAAAATCTGTGCCCTGGATGGCCCCTGCACTTTCTAGCTACTAGAATCCTGAATATAAACATAAATGTTTCTGGCAAAAATTTAGCTCATAGACTGTGCAGTATTCCAGCTGGGGCATCTGGAAATTTACTAGTCTAGCGGCAGCACTGGAATATGCAATGGCAAGATGAGGAAAAGAGGGTGACTTCAGCAGTGCAGCAATGGCAATCAGCACAAAGAACTGCTAGGAAGCCGTGTTTGTTTCAGCATTTATCATTTGTCAAGAACTAGCAATATGTTTGACATGCTGCTAGATCGAGCTGTGCAACGGGCTTGGCTGTCTGGTCCTGACAACCTAAACATGAGATTTGCTCTTTCAGCGTATCTGGTAAAAGGGAAGGGGGCCTACAGATGATGATTAGATGAAATTCCCATCAAAGGATGCTAGGAAGAAAGCACTGGGGATGGGTGGGGAATCACATCAAAGGTCTACATGTGGCTTCAACTGAGGTGCAAAACCAAGGAAAAACGTAAGAGAGGAAGGTACATAACAGGTAAGTACTTCCAGGTGGGCAAGTTTCTGCTCCTGACTGAGGGGTCATGTAGGGGATCACCTAAGTAACAGGCACCAYAAATTCATCCTAATACAGGATGAATCCATCCTAATAGTCTGCCTTTATTACAAGGGACTTGGTGACCTTTCTACTCATGCTCAATGATTTTTAAGAAATTGCTATTCCTTGCTCCTTTTCAAGCATTCATAAACACACAGACGCTGAGGTGCAGCATGCCTGGATCTGATCCAAAGCTTGTAGAGGTTATCAGAAAGAGCCCTATTGATTTCAGCCATCTTTGTATCATCTCTGCCTGGAAAGACCAATATTGAACATCATGCTGATGGCAGCACAGGGAACAGAACTCCAGTTTGACTCCCTGCCCCATGTTTCAGYCCCTAGACTGCATTTCCTTTCTAGAAATGCTTTTGCTCTCGGGTTTCAAAGGGCTGAATTAGTTGCCACAGACAGTTCCCCATAATTAACAAGTGTGAGCATAAATAGAACAATTCCAAACTTTCAAGTCATGATAAAAACTGGAAAGTTCAACTTTATGACTGTTTGCAATATTTATTTTTAGGTTAGCTCTTAAAACAACTTYCTAATGAGCTGATTTTTCAAAATATTTAATCAAGATTATGACATGCTTGTCCAGCTTTTCGCATGCAGTAAGATTATTTTTGTGGTGAATTAACTTCAGTAATACAAAGCCTGTGGTCAAACCTAAGATATATACATATCACCATATTTTGAATTTGATTTTGCACTGATAAATAAAGGTTCTTGAAGCAGAACATTCTGTAGCATAGTATTAGCCTTAACATAAAGGATATATCTGTGGTTGAATKATGATTCCTTGGAAAAGTGAAACAGTGAGGTTGGAAATGACTCTGCAATAATTAATGGCCATTTCACCATAAAAAGTTCCTGCTTGTGTAAAACTACTCTATATCTTTGGAGAGAAAAGGAGATGAATAACTGCTGTGAGCCACAAAGGAAAGCCAGTCTTCCAAATAATTAAAAGCCAATTGCAATCTTAAGCAGGAAGTGTCACTCATCAGCTGAACAGTATCAATTAAGATAATTAACATACATCTTTTCCTGTCTGCACAGAACTTTAAAAGAGAACTCAGCACCTACTGAAGATTTTTCTGTTGCTAGGATGTCACCTTGAGAAAGCTATTTGCTTCCAGCTTCCCTTTATTTGCCTTAATTCACAACTGCAGTGCTCCTCCTGAAGAAAGCAATATGGTCACACGCACAAGCTTCCTCCCTGAATTAACTGCACGGCTCATCCTGTGAGGTCCAAAAATTGGAAAATGTTTCAGAGCTGTACATCATTCAGGAATTGCACTCTCTTTTCATTATCGTAACCATATTGTCTCTGGCCTCTTAATTCCTTCCCCCATCTGTAGTTTCTTAAGTGCTGCTGGAGCTATATTYGTATTTTGAATCCCTAACCCACATCCTCCTCTGCTAGGGAGAGATTAAGATTCATCACGAGTCACGTGCCACCTAAAGATTTATAATCACAAATTCACTTTTCGGGAGGGGATGGAAATAAAGAAGTTGCTTTTGCAAGTGAAAGGCACTCGTTTGAGCACAACCCTGATGACCCCCTTTTCCATTTCCTTACCCACTTGTGATAAAAATTAGACAACAGAGCAACAAAAGGTAAACRGCCTAAACCATTCTTTTTTTCCCTGAAGTTCTTGAATAGAACTGGTTTTCTTGGGAAAACCAACTTTTGAATTAAATGAAATCAGGATGAGGAAAAGCAGAGTAGCACCATCTAAGGACTTCTCCATCCCACACTGGATGCAATTCTCTGAGTGAACCACTACAACCAAAGCCAAATCACCAAACCACAGGGCAGCCCAACACAGTTAAACATGAAGCCCTGCTGCAGGCAGAACACCTCTTTCTTTAAAAACCTCCCTCCTGTAGACTGGAAAACCCAATGTGACACAATCTGATCTAAGAAAATAGTAAGAATCACAGCCATTGCTTTGTATACACATAAGAGGGTATCTCTTGGAGGATTTGAGATCCTTCTAGATTTTTCAAGAATATTTATAATTTCAGGAAATGTCATAATACATTATGGTCCCCAAACTGTTCAGGGATGATGTAGTTTGACCATGACCTCTTCCCACAGAAACCAAYCACGGTAGGAAATGACAGCAATTTAAATTTCAAATCTTGTCTTCAACAATTCCTATCAGACTGTCCATAACTTCAGGTAAAGTTTAAACAGTTATRTACTTTCTAAGTTATAGTAGTCTTAGTACCATAGTCAAAAGTTACCGTGAGTTCCATCATCTGTTTAAATAGGAACAGGATCCCAGTTTTCCCAGTTTAAATTCCAGTTTTGATATCCAACTTTTTGTTTTGGGGCATCTTATTAGGCATTCAAAAGAGACTTTGGATATGTCAGTGCTAAATGAAGCATTCARATTTCAGGTTGGGTACTCAAGACCATTATATGTTTTTATTTTGCACAGATACAAGAAGTTGAAGATTTTTTCCTTCCACATTGTTTCCACATGCATAATGGAGAAYTGCTTTCCTCAGACCTTAATATTTTATTGAGAACATTATTTATTTCTCTTTCCCAGTAAAGAATAAGCTCCCATGTTCCATCACCATTTTTTTTTAAATTAGCCACAGCATCGACTTAGCAGAGAAAAATGTGACTGACAGGTACCAGGAATCACTGCTCTGTATCCCACAGAGCTGTCGGATCCAGAGGCTGGGCTGAGGGAGTGCATAAACCACAACRAGGGAGATGGACTCCAAGGTGTGAAAACACTGATTTAAATATTCACACCTGGATACATATCCATGCTTCTGACTACTTATCAACCCCTCACATCCTTCAGAGACTTTGATAATAAGTACCTATGAATTAACTAGAAACCAGTTCTATAGCARTTTGAGAAATTATGAGCTTCTATCAACTTTCTGATTTCAGACAWAAACATTTTTATTTGAAAAAACTAATTTTTATCCAGGTACCACTCACCTTTTCTTAAAACATCTCGTCATATCCCTAATATGATCTTCATCTGAACACCTCCTCAGCTGGATAATAAACTTAAATAATACACCAGGGAGACTAATTATAAAATGCTGCAACACTATGCTTTTTTTCTTCTTATTTATAAGCAGTTACTTTTTCATAATCTTTAAAAAAATGCACTCCTAAAAACATGAGAGATGTAAATGCTCTGTACATGTGCCTGGTAAATATCAAGAAAAACAAAATGGTTTAATTYCATTAAAAACTATTTAGTCATTTCCTCAAATGAGTTTCTTTGATGAAGAATTGAATTACTCCTTAGACACCTTCTAGAAACAGAAAGATGGTACCCTCCACAGTGATGCACTTGTGGTGTGAGAGTAAACTCCCTTGATACATGTACCTGTCACGGAAAATCCAATAAGCAGACAAAAGGATGAACTACATTCCAAAATGCTTGTCTTCTCCCAGATTAATGACTCAATGTTATTGCCTGCAAACAACAAAACAGCTAGCAGAATTCAGATCCTGGGATTAATTTTTGCTGTGGGTAAAATCTGCAATTAAATAATCCATATTTTCAGTTTAGTTTGATCTCTGATTAATATTGAAGGAAAAAGAACTGGAAACCACTTTCTTCCCACTCCTTTCCTCAACTGTATTTGACAGTTTATTTTCTATCATGTCATTGCTCTAGCTCCAATTTAGYCTGTCATTAAACAAAAACGATTGTTTATAGTCCACTCCTCCAAGAGCAGTCTGCAAAAAGGGATTTAATTTTTCGTTTTCAGTGGAAAACCAGAAATTCATTATGCATGACCTGGAAAGAAGAAACTGTAGTTAAAAAAAAAAAAAAAAAAAAAAAAAAAAAAAAAAACCAAACCAAAAACAAACAAAAAAAAAATACCAAGAACCAGACTGCTTTCTCAGAGCCAATGACTGAAATGATCTTAGGTCAACTCGTTTTGGGTCTGCTTGTCTTAAGAAAAAAAGGAGGTGCAAGGTTAATAAGCAGGTAAAACTGTCAAGGATCTGGACATCTAATCTCTTTGCTGAGAGTCCCAGCCTTGATCATGAAAGACAATCCATTCATTTAGCAACAGATCTATTGAATTTGTGTCATGGTGCCTACTAAATGCCTCACAGCAGCAAGACTGATATTTGCAGAAACCTCCAGCTATTTTTCACTGYGAAAAGTGGGAATTTAGGGCTTTGTTACAGGGTAACAGCTGTAAAAATGAGAATCTTGCACAGTCTCATGCCACAATTTGAGTCTGGGCATAAAAAACTCTGCGTCAGATTGTCCACAGCTCATTTAGTGCACAAGTTAGCCAACAGTTGAACCTAAGGTGGCTGTAGATTTTGCTGAAGAATTGGGAACATGGGAATGGCTTCTGGGAAAGGCTGGGAGGAGGAGGGTTCTCTGGCCACACTCGTGTTTTCCAGGATTGCACTTCTGGCCCCTGCATGCAGCAGTCACATGCTATCAGCACGCTGGGCTGGGCAGCAGCACTGGAACAGGGGTCATTCCTGCACTGTGCATGCCATTGCCACCGTTTTCATCCAAACTAGACACTGCATCTGGCTGTGCCTGTTTGAAAACAGTAAAAGATGGGTAATGACTGCCCCAACAGGTAAACACTTGAGTGACAGAGAAAACAACCAACTTCAATCCAAAACCCAAGGGAACAGCTCTGAAAACACCGTGAAGTGAAAGCCGTCACATGGTTCTGTCTGCAATTCTAATATCACTGCAACATCAACAACTTAGAAGGCAGAAGCTAACCCACTTCTGTTTGGAATCTCTCTTTAAAATTATATGATGCAACTTGGTGCTTTTTTCGTGGTTATCATGTCAATCCTGTAGTAAAAATCATGCTTAAAATAAGACCTGCTTCACACTGCATTTCTAGCAGACACTAACCCATTCTGACCCTTCATGATAAGAGAGCTTTTGATGGAAGATCGTTCTACTGCAATTGCCGAAATTTTCTGTCCTGTCAGTCACAGCCATTGTGYTTCTCATAGCTGCCAAGGTAGCACAGAAGTTCTTCAAAAGATCTTGCTCTCTGAGGTCTTTATAKTACCAAGGCATAAAACTAATCAACATTTCTGTCCCATCTCAACAGTGCTGTTTGCTGACTGCAAATTGATGTGTGAGATTCTGTATACATTATGGGAGAACAAAATGAGGGCACTGGGGACTCTTATCCTGCAACTGTCCCAAGATCAGTGCTAAACACCTGTGTCTGTTCCATTTCTGCCTCTGACCCTGTTCTGTTTCTGTCYGTGGAGAAGACTTTAACAACTGGTTGGATGATCACTGTGAGTCAAATCCTGGCCACAGCTCAGGGCCAGGCTGGCTCACCCTGCTCTGAAATACAATCCYGTAGCTGCTGGAATGAGACAGGCCTCCCAAGATCTCCATGAGTGATTGTAAAATTAGGAWAAAATGAGGAAATATATTACAAAGTTGATAGCTGATCGGTGCCATAATGATCTGTCCCCAATAGAGTGCAATAAGCACTAATTATGTTGGATTAAAATGGATTTTTACAGCTATATTTCATAGCAGAGTTGGAGAGCTAGATAACACATCAAAGGGCAATTAAACCCACCTTCCTCTCTAGCTTCAAGACATGTTCAAGCATACCTATTTTCTCCATGGCAGATATGTCCCTGTCTATRAAAGCTTTTTCAAATGATGGAAGACTGTGGAATTTCCTTAGGAGAGGCATGAAATTGCTCCCTAGAGAAGGGAGCTTGAAACAATCACCACTTATCATGACTGAAGGTGGTCTTGAGGATTCTCATGGGACAGAACTGATTTTTCTGAAAACCTTTCCAAGATGCAGAGACTCATTTATTTGTGATAACTTAGTGAGGTGCTCCACCAGCAAACACAGTAGAAAGAAAAATACCCTCACAGTGCTTCTTATTACATCAAGATGTATTCATCTGACCTATATTTTGATTGCAAAGCAGGAGGACTGTGAAGATATCAGAGGACTACAGAAAATATTATTTATATTTATATTATTATTTAATAATAATAATAACCATCATCATCAACAACCCAAGTCTTTTGGAGTCTCTATTTTTTATTTTCACTTACTGTTTTCATGAATGTAAAGTCTTCATGCAGTATCTCATGATTAGTAAGAAGCAGAAGAGGAAAGAGACTCTAGACTCCAGAATATATATATAATGTGTCTAAAAGTCAGCTGAACTACAGAGGAAAGTCTCAAAAGCCAGAGGAAAGTCTTTTGGTTATGTTTTGATATGTTTWTGAGTCATGACGACTCTTCATGACTCTCATACAACTCAAATTAGATTTTTCTAATGAGTTTTTTCCAAAATAAATGGGTTTGTGGGCCTCTCAAAGGCTACCTGGGCACCACAAAATGTTCTCTCACAGAGGAATTAGCTTTACTGCAAAGTCCTGGGCAGCAGTTTGAGAATAGCTCTGTTACATCGATTCAGGCAGTTTTACACGAATTTACGCTGAAAACTACATCAATGTTACTTGTTGTGCTAGCATTTGTGAGTGAATGTGTTAAATACTGAARAGACAAAACAATACTGTAACAGGGGTTGGATAAAATTAAACTAGAAAATGCTAGAGGATGTGGCAAACAGGAGCTCCRAGGCACTGGCAGATGTCCAGATCAAGAATGAAAAATGTTTGCCTCCCAGTTTGTTCAACAATGAGTTAATTTGAACAAACACAATGCTGAAAATGTCTAAATCAAATACTCAGCTAATCTSTACCACCACCTTTATGAGCTGCAGCTGATAGCAATAAAATAAATCCTTGTTTCCCATTCTGTTAATCACATCTGACATGTCTTACTTGAATCATGTTTAATTTGATCAACTGTTACAATTTTGAGTACTGATGCCAACACACATGCAGGAGAGACATAGACACCCACTGAGAAAGCTTAACTCCTCTGTGTTAGAGGAGTTAGGCTCTTTATGTTAGAGAATGTCATCTTTTTCCTAAGCATGGCTGTTTGCTTTTCAAAAAATGTATCTAAGAAAAAAAGTAATGCTGCTCCACTTACATTCCAGTCAATAGTAACAAAAAAAGGGTGACGTTTAATTTCTTCCACTCCATCAAATCCAGCACCTGAGAAGAGAATGAAAGAATCAAAATGAAGTCATGTTTGTAAGAGAGCTGCATGACATCTCTTCTCCAGTCTCCCTCCCTGTTCACATTTTTCTTCTGACAAAGTCGAGTCCCCATCTAAAGATTTCTCCTGGTCAAGAAACCCTGAATGGTGCAAGTGCCATCACAGTATAAACTCCCATAAATTCATCCAAGGGCACTTCACTAATGAGAATTTGATCCCAAGGGGTTTTTACTTTCCTCTAATTGAGGCTGCTGCCAAAGCTTTGGATGAGATATGCGATTTTAGCCACAGCAGGGTGCATGCACCAGCAAGGTCAAGAAAGGCCCCAGGATATCCTGATAGTCTGGCAAGGCTCCATCCGTGGAAGCTTTTCTGTCTACACCACATTTTCAAATCTTAAGTAGCTACAGGCAGAGAAAGCTGCACTACAGGCAATTATAAACTCAAAATACCAAAAGGCTCCAAATGATTTGAGGTAAGCCAGGGTTTTTTGTTCCCCCTCTTCAAATACTGTCTTCAAATTCCTGTAAATACCAAAATCACCACTCTCAGTGTTATGTTTCCTTCACTACTGAATTTCTGTTACATTACTGTAGGTAATTTATAGGAAGTTTTCTGAGATCTGGTAATGAATCTAATTCCTTCATTACTTTTGCCTTATGTTTTCACTGAAGATTGCTTTTTTCATTCCTTTAGCTCCATTTATTTGCTTCAGTGCTATCACAGAACCCAGCAAGTATTCAGTAATAATTAAAAAGCTGTCAGAGAGGATTTAGAATGCCATTTTTGGAGTTGATTTGACCTTATTAATACCACCTTTCATTTTCATTTCAAGGAGAATTAACATCCAGAAGCAAAGGCTTTACACTGCAGTTCTGGAATCAGTTCCTGAAAAGTACCCAGCCTACTTCTACACAAGCATGCTGAGCATCCTTTATTCCCAAAAGGATTTGGGATTCATAAGCACCTTGCAAGGGGCACTCAGCACCTCAAAGGACGCAGCTCTTTATATATGCACCATTTGTACTTTGGGAAGATCAACATTACCAGCAGCTTTACAAAGGTCTCGTCAACTGAAGCTTTTGTAAAATGTGATGCCTGCTCTCCTTGTGTACAAGACTGTAACCTATGTTTGTCAAAATGCAATGATCAGGAACTGCATCCTACAGCCTGCTTAACATTCACTGATGAACGGATATGGAAAGCAAACACTTTGTAAACATAAGATGCGGGATTGTGTCAGGCCCGCCAGAAAACAACGAACAGGGATGTTCTGATTAATTCCTCATCCCAGTAATCTTTCAGTAAAGGCAAACTCAAGCAATGCACATGAGGATAAATAATCCTGGTCTGCATACAAAATTATGTGTTGAGAAGTGATTAGCCCCGCTGAGGAGTCTGTAGGTTATAACAGCCAGACATTTCTAGGCAAACATAACATGAAACCAAACCTTAGAAAAAGAGGACAAAAGGAACAACATCATTGCATTGTTGCTGTGTAAATCTGTTGCATTCCTACCCACAACTGGAGTATGGATTGTAGCTGACACAAGCCCCTGTGAACTTATTAAAGGTAGGAAATGTGTGGTTGAACTTATTAAAGGTAGGAAAAACCAAAGAAGATCAACATGGTATTGAGTGACTGAATAGATCAGGATTTTTCAACCTGGAAACAGATGAGCAAGGAAGTTTACAGTAAGTCATAAAATGATGCTAGCAGGAATCAGGTTCAGAAGAACCTCTTTTTCCTCAGGAAACAGACAACTGTGTGATGTGAAATTAGCTGGAGAAGATGATGTGGTGCAAAATACTTATATGGGTTCATGGGGAGGCCAGGAAAATCTGTTGTAATATGTTGGAGATTACTTCATCAACAAACCACAAGAGGTTCAGGAAACCCCTTGCTTTACCTTAAAGCAGGAATACGGTAAGAGAAAATTTGGGTGAAATAACATATATGTTTATCCTGTTCTTACATGCACCTAGTTGAATAAGGCTTGTTTTATGACTTCCCTAGCATATTTTTTTTCAATGCACAGTCTGAAGTCTGCAAGATTCCCTTGGCAGATTCATTCTGGTTTTAGCAATGCAAACAGAAACACAAAACCAACAGAGCTATTCTGAAGAGAATTACATTAAGCAAATATTGAGAAAAGAAATGTCTATGAAAAATGCTTTGTGTTCAGTGGTAGTGACTGGAAACTGCAAAGTGCAGTAAATGTTCTTTCCACATAAGGATGAAACGCAAGTGCCAACCTGATTTTGAAGGACTGGGATAAATGCTCAGACACTGTAAGACACTGGTAGCATATCCTAGACTGAGGATAATTGCTAATGCATTCAATTTTCTCTGCTCTACCCCTTCCCCACTGTTTCTCTTTTCCTTCTGGCTTGGGCCAATAGATATATCAGTGTGCTGGGAATGACATGCTTTCTTTCAGACCATCTCTCTGAAAGCCACACTTCTTGCTCCTGTTGTTGTTCCTTTTTCCACAAATCCACAGAAATAAGGATCAAGAAAAATGTTCACCCACAGCTACCTCTCTTAGTGGGGGGTTACAGTGTTCAGTAAGGGATGCGAGCACGCAGTTGAGGCAGTCATTTGTCTGAAAATTTTTCATTTCCCAGTTAGGACCAACTCAGCACTGGTGCAGAAGTAATAACACATTGTTAAGCGCAAGATATTAATATATTAAAGAGATTTAGGATTTTTTAATTTTGCAAAGAGTGGAGGACTTCCAATTCTTAGCAACTGAAGAAGGTTCAGCACTTCCTGCAGTTTTTATTCCGTCTCCTTCTGTGCCATGAGATCTGCTGACGTAGCCTACAACTCCTTCTTGGATTTTCTGCTGTGGCTGTAGGCAGCAGCACGTGGCCTGGTCCTCTCCTCAGCTGGAGGAGGGATGCAGCCCCAGGGTGTGTTCAGGAACAGCTCTGGGAGCTGAAAGGATGATCCTGACCCCACTTCAAAAGTCCATGGGAAACATTAGGCATCAGTGCTTACGGTGGAGTCTCTCTGGACCTGCTCACAATGTTCCAGCCATTTATCTGCAAACCTACAGTGGTACTGAAAAGAGATGTGTTTTCATAGAGAAAAGAAAGGCACAGCAGAAAGTATGACTGGAAAGGCCTGCTTCATGGAGATGGACATTTCTTAGCACACAGATGGGTATCAGCAAACATCTGAAGCGCAGCACACAACAGCACACTGCATGGCCACACACCTTTCACCTTCCTTGAGGTTTCCAGTGGCTTAGGGTTTATTAGCTTCACTTTAACTTCAATTTAGCAGTAAGACCTAGCAGTCAAGAATAATCAGCACAATCAAACCTAATGCCTGCAAATATTCTCATGTGCCATCCAGTCCTATGAGTGTCCGAGAAGATAATTCTTTCAGATCAAATTGCCAGTTTAAAGACATTATAGAGTGCAAGCATTTATATAAAAGTGGACTCACATTAGGAAGCAAGAACCTAATTATCTAAGTTTTATGTCTGCAATAAAAGTGCCTGTAAACAGCAAGAGTAGAATGGTTTATTTCCAATTGGTTTTGATTATTGAGTCATTATGGACAATATAAACCTTGAAGCATTATGGGTAATAAAAGAGACCTCTGAAATTTGCAAGTTGATTACTTGGATATTCAAATTCATCAGAAAGAGCTTGCAGATTTTTAGTTTCAGAGAACAAAATTTTAGAGTCTCTACAGTTTCAGATTTTTTTTAGTGGGGTAGATTTTTTGAAATATTTTTCTGAGTTTTACAAGAAAGCTTTGTCAGTCTCTGACAAAGGTGAAAGCTGTTTATATCTTATAAAGTTAATCCCAACAGTTTTCTGGGTGCCAAAGCAGAATGTATCTTCCCTGAGAACATGGGATTAAGAAAATACTATTTCCTTGGCTTTTACTCTGAGCCTATTAGCAAATGCTTTTATTTTAAACTTTCTTGGCCAAGCTTCTCAGTCATAAGGAATCTGGATCCTTTATACTGCTCAACAGCTTAAGCAGTTTATTAAATAATATGTTTTTTATATAAAATAAATTTTTAACAAACATTTGTTATATAACCATGCTAAATAATAAATAATTTATTTACCTACCTGAGCAAATCCAGCCTTAGGGCAAGTTCCTTGCCAGCATTCCTGACATCATGAATTAACACCTTCATCACTATGTTTCATTTCTAGATGCTTACTCCTCATTTGCCTGGGTATTCAGTTAGTTTCTTTTAAGAATTTAAAATGATGCCTATCCATAATGTGAAATTTGTTGTACTTAGAGCAATATTACCAAAGCAGTGCTATGCAGACTATTTGTACAGCAAATAAGCTCAGAAAAGGACAGTGCCCAAAACCAGGGATACCAAAGGAAGACTTTCCATTCCTCAAAAATTTGTCGCAAATATTAATGTGGGCATCAGACTTAAAAATAGAATAAGGTAAACCAGATTACTAATTTTCTTCTCAGTCTTGTCTAACTTGCTTCGAACATAACAGTTCTTCTATTAATAGACTAAAGTTTCAAAACTAAGTTTCCAAGTAAAAATTCAGAATACATCATTAATCTTTATTTCTGTTTGTTAGCAAACCAAAATCAAATGGCAAAAAGCATATTTTATCTTTGCAATGTTAAAATTGGATTTTGGAATTAAATGCACTTGCAAACTTTGACTTGCAGTCTTGTGAAACAATGGCTGAAAACAAATGTTTGATCCATAACATGGTTCATTCATTTTAACATGCTTAATTAATTTTCCAAAGATTTTTCAAAACTGGATGTCTAAGTCTACTTTTCATATTTCTTTCCCAGAAAAAGTTGAAATCCACAAGGCTGAGGCAGTCCTTTTATCTACTGGCTTCTGTTCAATATTTAGGCCAACTATTCAAGCTTTCATTCTTTTGTTATCAACAGGCCTCTTTCCATCTTCCTTTGTGCTGATTCTCCAGTTAAAACAGAGAGTGCCTTCAGGAGCTTTCCACCATCTCTGAAATGTTAACATCTATTTTTCTGTTACTGTTTTAGACTTCATTTCCTTGGACGTTTATGTTATAAATAATTCTTTTTTCCTTTCTTTTTTTTTTTTTTTTCCTCCAAACCTTGCCAGTATTTCAATAAACCTCAGGTTTTAAAACCTTGACCCCTAGCAATTCCCCATTATTAATATATGAGGGCTGGAATTATTATGGCTGAAATGAAGTTTTAGTGAGTAGCTTTTTATTTAAGCACTGCTATCCAGAAACTCCCACTGACTTCACTGGAGCTCCATTCTGGGTGGACAGCAACTTGTGAGAAGCCACAAAACGAACAGAGCAGAATAAAACCAAGAGATGGAGACAGGGAGGAAACAGCAGAAAGAAATATAGGTGGAGAGTGGGAAAAAGTTAATATTTGCTGCGGCATCTAATTTTTCTAAAGATTAAACCTAGAAATCCCAATTCTCTATTTTTTCTAGTGTCAAAGAAATTGCCTGAGAGCAGTTGAAATCTGCTGACAAAATGTGTTTTTCTACTCTCACGTCTACAGTACATCATACTACAGGAGCTACCCTTTAGATCAGGAGGTAAAATAAATGGGAGGGATTCCCTCTGTGAGCCATGTGGGATCCCCTGGTTGGATAGGGATCTTTCAGCAGCATTCTGGAGGACCGGTCTGCACTGCCACCCACTCTGTGCTTCACTGGGTTGTCCCCTCACCCCTGTGGGGAACATTGCCAAAATTTGCAGTGGAAATCATACAACAGGCACTGTCCATGCCCTCATCAAATCCAATTAATTTCTTAATGAAATTTAAAAAATAAAAAAGGCTACAGATYACATAAAATGCAAAATATAAACAGAATTATTAACAAATAGTGAAGTAAAAAGGAGATGATGTATTTGGGTAATAAAGAAGAATGTCTATTGCATGAATGCCCCCATATAACAGAATGAGACAGGACTAAAATACATTTGAGAATGGGAGAGATGAAACTTGAGAATTGCAGCTGAATTATATAGATTTTACAAGACACTTGTTTCTCAATTCCCTATATTATTGTATGCAGCTGGTAGTTTACTCTCCCACTTCACAAAAAAAAATACAAATCAATATAATATTTTAGATTTCAACGCTTTGCCTGTGCTCTTTGCAAATTCCTCAAGTGAAGCTCGAGGTTTACTGTGCTTTGTGCAGGAATGCAAAATGCCACCTAATGAAGAGAATAACCATCAGAGCAGATGAGCTGAGAAACACAGCCACCACCTGATGAGCCAGAGAACACATAATGAATGTCCTGATCAAACGCACACGTACCCAATCTGTTGGAGGGGTTCCTTTTGAAGAGGGCTCGCAGCAGGCTCTGCGCTTCTGTGCTCAAGAACTGCGGCATTCCCAGCTTGGCTCTGAAAGAACATGACACTTGAAAAGAAAATAGATTTCTCAAGGTTTTTTTCCATCCCACTGTGGCTGAAACAGCGGAATTGTAGCAGTCAGAATGGGCACACACAAGGAATCAGTGACCAAAGGCTACCTAAGCAAAGTGCAATACAGAGTGAGAACCTGATCTGATTCTGCTGAGCTTAAGGAATGTTTTACCACCGACTTCACTACAGGTAGAGCAGATCTACTAAATTTCATAAAAACTTGCAACCTAAATAGGACATTTTCCTACAGATTTTTTTCACTTTTTTAGTCTGCTGAAATGGATTTGGCAATCTAGAATTAAACCATCGAATTTAATGGAAAAAATTATACTAAACTGCATACTGCTTAAAGAGAATAAAACTTCTGTCTTGGCCATTCACCACTACAGAAAAAAAAATGCAATACTGAGCAAAGCTAAGCTTCAAACATTTTGTCTGCATTTAACATTAAATAAATGGGACATCTCAAGGGAAGATTTGAAACTTGGCAACAGCAAAATATAAGACGTCCTGCAGAAATCTGTCTTTCTCACATTTTGTAGAYACTGACATTATAACGAAGATAAATTTCTGTTGTAAGGCCCTCTCAGTAATTCACTTCCTCCTATTTATTCTGAAGGCAATTTTAGAGTTACACACAGGCATCAGCTATGTTTGCCTTACTAAATTCATGCCTTGCATAGCTTTGGACAGTTCATTATTATTATTACTGTTATTATTATTAATTATAATTAGTTATTATTAATTAGTATTATTTATTATTATTATTATTATTATTATTATTATTATTATTATTATTATCATCATCATTATTATTCTCTCCCCATCATATGCTTGAGCCCTACGGAGTCTCCAGAGGGTAGAGGTAGCCCACAGTTAGAAGAATGAAAGCAGTTTTGATACTCACTTGAGAATGAGTGCCATTGTCTCCTTTCTGTCTTTTCCCTGGAAGGGTAATGATCCCGTCAGCATCTCAAACTGTGGAGTAGCAATAAAATGGTAAATCAAATGTGCACTGGGATGGTCTGCATGGCTGATAGACACCACAGCCATCCTCTATTTCCAACACAACTGAAAACTTGAGGAAAAGAAATGATCCAACAAGCTGTGCTCCAGAAAAAAAAGGGCGTAGCAAGTCTGGATGACTGTTCCATTCCAGAGACTTRTTACAAATTGTTTACACTGGTATTTGTTGTAAAGTTTTGGTATGTTTGGGAAAAAGTGTCAAATATGCTGTTTTGCCTCCAGCACTGTTTTATGACCAATGCTGGAAATAAGGAATTTGGCTGGAGGGATCCTTAGCCTGCATGGGTATGGCTCATCTGAAACTTCTCAGACCCATYTGGCACAGATTATCATGCAAGGAAAATAGATTCAACATGCCACTCTCCATCTTTTCAAGTTGAATCAAACCACCTTTTTGGTCACATATTTGCACCACTTAGAGATGCCTCTACTATATTTTGCAGGAGAAACAAGTCTAAATCCTACATTCTCAAGGCATTTGAGCATGATTTTCCTCTCCTGCTTTGATTCCTCTGGCTGTACTCAGTGATGAATCTCACAAGTGTCACATTTAACTGAACCCAAATCTCAGAGCGAAACTCAACAATCATCATCAATTATGTGCCTAACTCACGTGTTGAAACATCAATCAGTTATGGTTCCTTTGAGACAGATTAGTGCTTTCAGTAAATTTGACAGGAATTTCACATCTGTGGGAAGGAAAAAACGCAACAAAAATCCAGCAAAAGTTTGCCTAACTTGGATTCAATAACAGGTCTTTCACACAGTTCTTGCCACGGTGTTTCATGGAGTGGCAGCTGCTTTCTCTCACTAAAGAAGGTTGTRCATCACCAAATATAAAGGCACCAAGAACATAGTTCAGTTTGGACACAAACAAGAACAGTGTCCAGTGAGGACAAGGAGAACTGTAACTTGTTTTGTCTGTGGCTCAGGCTTTGAATCTTTTCTACTATAATAAGCATCTAATAATTAATATTCATTGCTATAATCAAATACCTGTTAAAGCAGGAAAGACTCTTCAAGACTTAGGTAGTTTTTGCACGTTATCCCACAAGAAACTGCAGTGTTCCCAGAAAGCACATTTGTGCTAAGAAGGATCCTTTCATTACCAAAATTTGTGTCAGGCTTCCCCACAGCCTGACTCTTCCTTTTGCCCAGATTAAATACAGATATACCATCAGAAAAACATAGAAAACAGAGGAATGTGAGAGGCTAATTTTGGGAGAAGGGTAGAGGAGAGGTTTACAGGCCTGATAACTAACTGAGTATAGTTAATTAAAGTATTAATCGTCATTAGTCACAAAATACTTCAAGGCAATAAAGCCCATAGTAGAAACAGGGAAAAAAAAAACCCTTAAAAAAGTGTCTGTGGCTGACAAATATAAACAAGATTTGGAAGAAACAAATGCATTAACTTCTGCTTGGATTAGGAGAAGCAAGAGCTGCCTGGTATGGAGGAAAGCAGCTTGTCTTCTACAAAGAAACATAATAAGGGAGAATTTTTAAACCTTCCTAGATGATACTGGAGCTTAAATACCATTTTCAAAGTAATTCTGACCTATTYGTGCCACAGTCCTGATAAAAGTGTTCAGATACACCGGGAATGAGGGGCAGAGAACATTGCTTCCCAGGGTAGAAGCAGAAATGGTACAGATTGTACCAARCCCTCCTCATAATTTCTAGAACATTTATGCCCACAATAAGTACCTAATGTTCACTTACAGTTGCTCATGTTACTTTGTTGTTATAATAAATCTAATTTAACAGCAGCAACAATGGCTGCTCCATCTCACTTAYGCTGGCATAAATGGGCTTGACATTGCTGATGCAGATGATACAAACAACTGCTTGGTCACTGACTGTGTAGGAAGGGACTGTAGCTCCCACCCACCACAATATCCCAGGAATACCTGCAAGGGATGGAAACCAGARGGAAGGAATTTGAAAGACATTTAAGTTGCAGGAGGGAGAAGGGGGAATGATTGTCCTGGAAGCTGCAGGGAATATTTACTGTGCTGTTGTAACAGCCAGCATTTTGTTACCACATGTCTCCAATTGCACAGGCCTAATGCTGAGATGAATTCAGGTTCAGAAGAAATGCACTTAACATCAATATTTAAACTGAAAGGCAGCTATGTAARTAGCTTTTTACTTCATGAACTTATAAGCAGCMTCTGGAAGAAACCATTATCTTCTCAATTGCAGACTAAATGTGTTGAAGGTTAAAAATATAAGGACCAAACTGAAAAAAATATTTAAATAATTCATCTCATCAGTTAAAGCTACCATTTCACTGCACAATGACCTGTCTTCCTGCTTAGTTTTTAAAAAATCAAAAATCTTGCTAAATGTGAACATGAAAACAGTAGTGAGAACTTGCTGTTTGCACCCTTACACACAAATACAAAGCTGCATKGGTCACAGTAGGTGGACAAGAAGCTGAGCCTAGGGGTGAACGAGCTCTGAAGTACTTTCATCTGTTAAAACAGTCCCTATAGTTTTGCTGGGAGGCTCCATCTTCATACTCTGCACTTCCCCATCTCTACAAACCTCCTTCATTCCCACTGATTCATTTCCTGGGTGTTTTGGAGGGTGATCTTCTCTTACATAGTACTTCACAAGGCTGCACCTCCCTCCAGCCTTGACTTCCTTTCTGTACCAATACTCAGCAAGAAAGGCAAGTATTCTTTGTTCCAATTCAGTTGCCCATTAAGAGAACCACAGAATGAGGCTTAAAGGAAAGGGCTTCAGGAGTCACACTGTCCAACCCTGCTGAGGTCTCAACACACTATGCAGCACTTCCTTTCTCTAGTTTTCAGGGCAATCTCCAATTTCAGTAGGCAAAACATGAGCACTTCCCAGAAGATACACATGTGGGAAGACCTTGGAAAAGAGTGCCACATTTCAGGAGGAAATGGATTCAGGAAGTGATCCTGGCATGTCATTGAGGAAGATAATGAATGAGAAAAAATCCTCAGCTTGGGTAACTACCATATGAGTTTTCCTAACAGATGGAAGGAGAGCAGGTTGTCCAAACTACTTCAGCCCAAGTCTGCTGAAGTATTGTGAGCATAGGATAAAACTCAAAGAGTTACAGAGAAACTCGATACCGCTCAGTTCTCCAAAGCAGAGACACTCTCATCAGAATGGCCAGGTTCTCCTTTCAACACTTCCAGTCATTTTCCACCTATCTGAGAACTACTCAAGCACTCAGTTTGGTAATTTGCAAAATGCATTATATATTTTGCCTTATTTGGGTGTGAAACATAACGAATTAGTGCTTRCAAAGGATTGCATCCCTTATCATAGCAGCAAGAAAAAACATTCAAAATAATGTTCATGAAGACCATCTCTCCCTGGGAATAAAAGAAGTTTTATAATGGGATTTTACAGTGGAAGATTGTAATGCTTTGATGTCTTGCATTGATTTTTCCAATGCCACTGTACAGTTACTACAAAATTACAACAGAGCTGAATACTTTGGATAACAAAGGAACATTTTCTTTTCTTGTGAAGAYTTTGCTACTTGCTGGCATATATGAACACATTCCTTCTTATTTGGGACWGCCTATGAAGCCATCACAGCCATTTCTCTGATTATATTCCCCCCTCAGCTCATGACTCTCAAAGATGTATGGTGGCTTTTTTTCCTGAACTGAAAGAGATACAACTTCCATAAGGTCTGTGACCTTGTAAATCAGCTCRAGCTACAAAAGCACTGTTTTGGGAGGCCTTCCAATAGATTTGTAGGTGTCAGCTCATGCTGACCAGTTTATATGAGCTTCAGAGATGGCAGTGTGGCATCTTGCCAGTGCGGCATCTTGCCAGTGCAGCTGAAAAGGTATTAGTTACATATCCAACTTTTTAACAATTTAAGCTAAACACTTGTTCATGCAGATCTCTTGATGAAAAGCTTTTTTCCTATCCAAAATCTCCAGTGCAGTGAGTACGATACAGAAAGGCAGAAAATTAAAACTGTCCAGTCATGATAAGCCATATAAATTCACCAGCACAAAATTATAGTTGGGTTTCAGCAGTCATCACCACGTATTTAATGAGAAGCAGGCAGTGTCTTCTGCAATGCTGGAAAGGGCAAATTTCAAGGTTTGTATAACTATACCTGTTGACATACAGTAAGATACCATAAAACAATTCAAATAAACTGAGCAGCAAAAAAACAGAGCAGCTAACAGTTTCAGTTGTGTGGCCTGTGTTAAAGACCTGGCTGGTAGTAAACGAAGTTTTGTTGTCAGTAGAGCTCCTGGTGAATAACAATTCATTAAATAATTAATAGCAYAATTAATAAATAAGAGCAGAATTTAGTCATTTTTCAGTCAAGTTTCATCTATTAATAATCAAAATTTCAGCTATTAATAATCAAGTTTTGCTATTAATAATCAAAACATGCCACATTTTAAGGAGTCTGCAAGGATCACTCAGTTTGATTCTAGCCTGTGCCCTGGTCAATGCAGGTTGGCAACAAGCTGCCAGCACAACCCAGCTCTTTATACTGAAGCATTAAACCCCCTCCACAGAGCAGAACAGACAAGAGAGAGTTTGGTTGCTCTGGTGATGAGGAGGACACAGGCCATGTTATAACTCTCTGCTTAATATGTTCCATTTTTTGATAATATGMAAATTATATTATCACATACGCTTCCTTTCAATCTATGCATATTTCATCAACTGTTTTCTTCTTCTATTTTACATCAAACTGCAAAGTGCTTAGGAAGAAATGCTAATAAATCATTGGAATACCATTTAATTCTCTTTTGTTTTTCAGACTGACAGAAAAACAGCCTTCCTAATAGAATATACAAGTGACAGAACAAGGAAAACAAGGAGAACAACGAGAAGAGAGCAGAGTGAAAGCATGAGAAAATCCTCCCACATGTTTAGTGTGTGGAAATATACTTTAACTTTGAAAAGGAAAAAAGGTTGAACTGATTGACATATTTTTCTCTAAGATGTCTGGTAACACTTAAAGGATTAAAGCATTAGTTTGGAGTTTAAGAGGTTTTACTTTCTTTAATTCATCTCTTTTTATAGGGATTCTTATCTTGTCTAATTCTAATATGCTGAATTCTTAGGGGAGGGTTGAAAAGAGCAATGGAAATAAAAAAAATAAAAAAAAAGAATGCCTAGCAAAACCCAGGGAGCAAGCAGTCCAGTTTATTAAGAGTTTACTAGCTGGTAAAAGGAGAACAATCTATAGACCAAATGCACCATCACTTAATGGGAGAGAGTGAGAAGACACAGCTACCCTCCAAAATCAGATATATAATAAAAAAATTGAAGAGTAGGGATGTATTTATTCTAGGAGACCTAACCTATTGATTTTCCTGAATAAACATACATGGTTCAGAAGTGCTGAGCATCCACGAATGGATTGTGGTGACAGGAGATAAGAATGTTCCACTCCTTTTATAATTCAGGCAATAAATTACAATATTTATGTAGATTAACTTCTGCCAACGTGTTGGATCAGTGATGCGGGCCCTCCCCAACCCAAATTTTCACTGTTTTTCACATTGCTTCCCATATTTACTTTCTCTGGTGGCACCACTTGTCTGCTTTGGGTAAACAAAATTTAAACCTACTGTGGATTTTGGTATGTAGTGGAATATACAGCTACCAGAAATAGCCTCCATAGCACAGGAAATTGTGCTGTATTGGAAGAGCACGTTGCTGTGCTACTTTCTGCTTCTGCCCTGGTTCTGCAGGGAAGCTGTGACAGCTGTGCTGAGGTGCCCTGTGAGCCACAGCCGTCTGGTGGTGGCCATGCCTGAGCACTTGGGCAGAACTGGAGCCTGCACACTTCAGGAGTGAGCAGCACCATCTCTGTKATCCAAACATATCCCTGTGACAGCCTGGGGTCTGGGCTCAAGGGACAGCAATCTGCTTGACAAAACAATGCTGCGAATATCTGCTCCCAAAATCTTACAGTGTACGTATAGCTTTWAAAAAAATCAAACCACAAACCAGCTTCTTGGTTTTATTGTCATTTACCTCAGCAACAACAGCAGACAGACTGAGGAGGCTGAAGGAGTGCAGGGTGGGGGGAGCAGGTTGACATATGAACATGTAATTTGAGAAGGCTGGCTTGAGGAGAGTGTAAAACCTCTCTGAAAAACTTGCCTGATACTTTGATTTATYATCTGAGGGATCTGATCCCTCCCACAGCCACCCCTCCAACAAACAAGCACAATTTCTGCCTTACCATGAGCACGCCAAAAGACCACCAGTCGGCACTTTGYGTGTGTCCTCGCCGGTTGACCACCTCTGGGGCCATGTACTCTATCGTCCCRCAGAACGAATAGGCTCTCTTGTCATGGTCAATGGCTTCTTTACTCAGACCRAAATCTACGTAAATTGAAGCAAAAAAAACCTATCAGTTCTCTAAAAAATATTATCTATGCTTTTGTCACTTAATCAGTTTGAACAAAACACATCAAGAGATGCCCTTCTGTCTGTGTGCAGGCAGAGGCCACAGGCATGTGTGTGCTGGAGCCCTGCCTTGTTGATACACCCTGAAAGCAGGCAAATCATTTTATCTGCTCAGAATGAGGTTCTGGCCCAAAGCAGACCAGAGGGTTAAATAGGGAGAAATATATAGGTAAGTTTTGYTGAAGGCAATGCTGGTGAGCATTCTTGCTCAGATAGCCAAAGTATAAAGAATAAAATCCCACATGACATCAGTGAAAAGTATGGCTAGACAGGATCTCCAGAGTGGCAAAGGGGTGTTTTTCCAGCCATCCTCTGCCTGCAGGGAGCAGTCACATTGGAAGCATCCTCCCATCCTCAGTGGCAGCAAACCAAACCTTCCTGCTTCATGTCAGTCAAAACCATAATTTTACCAAGGAAACGATCCAAATTCTCCATGTGCTGTGCACATGGGATTTTGACAAATCAACACAGAAACCCAACACTCAAACTCTTCTGGCTTCTAGTTTTTGCAAGCAAACTCCTTCCAACCAAAGACCAGGATGYACAGAACATACTGCAGAAAAAAAAAATCATCAGCTTATAGGCCTGAAGCTTTCTATTCCTCACATACCTGTTATCTTAATGTGACCCTCTTCATCAAGAAGAATGCTATAAAGCAAAAAAGAAACATTCATTCATTAGCCAGGCATAGAGTGCAGTTAGAAAACATGAATAAAAATGTTTAAGTTACCTAAGGAGATATGCAAGATTCAAACACTTTAGTAAACAAAACCTTAGCAGATTCTATGGCTTCAGAAAGAAAAATAAACCTCAAAGGTCTGCCTTGTCTCATACCTGAAGAAAGCACAGCCTGAGGCAGCTCCATGAGGAGCCTCCTCCTTGCTCCAAAGGATGTTCAGATGGGCATGCAAACAGAGCTCAGAAAGAACAGTGTGCTCAGAGCCAACAAGTTCAGAGTACATGCTTCCAGCAGGAGAAGGGGCTACAGGCTTTCTGCTCTTGTCATAATAAAAGGCAGGCACACAAATAATCAGAGCTTGGACTCACTGGACCTAAAATTAAGTCTAAAGGTTCATGCTGAAATAATAAAAGTTATTKCAGAGCACAGTGACTAGTCACAGCCTAACTGCATGGATCTCAGCCTCTGCTTATCTTTCTGTCCAGAAGCACAGATGAAAATTCATCCTGGATGCCAATTTCAAGTGTTCTCACATTTGCCACCTGCCAACATAACTTTTTTTCTCACAAAGGCACTCCAACATTTCCGTAGTTCACAAAACACAGAGTTAGTTTTTGTGGAAATAAGAAGGAACATGACATTTGAAAAATAATCATTTTGGTAAATAAATAGTGACATAGTAATGAGGGTGGTGTTTCTTCAGTTCTAGTTAGTATATTTCTCTTTTCAAAAAAAATAGCAAGGTGCCATATATAAAAATATATTTTTATATTCCTCTGCTCTTAGAGAATCCCTTTAATCCAATTATTCAGGAAGAAAATAGGACTGAAGTGAACCAAATATAATGGGCTATACCTTTGTGAAAAGTTTTGTCTCTACTGAAACATAACTGAAAAAAYATGCACTTCTGTCAGTCATTTATGTGCTTAGAAAAATCTGTTCAGTAATTCAACAAAGGCCAGCAACTAAGTCAGTACTATGACTCCAATAATTAAAGCATTTTCTTCTTGATAAAAGCATCTTACCTTTATTCTTTCTCCACACTTTTCTTGAAGACATATAATTTTCAAGTACTAGTCTGTAACAGGCATGTTTAAATGTATTTTTGTGACTGCAACCCCTAAACCTGTGCTTCAGAAGAGAACTGAATAAAACAGCTGCCAGTGGGGAAGTGAGTGTGAATRTATGAACCTGGATCTGGAAAAAGAGCAAGGGAGAATAGAGCTCACAGAAATCATCCCAAATTCTGCCCCACACCCAGRAAGCCCCTGTAAATAACAGTGCATTTTAAAAGTTGTGGAAGTTTYCCCAGAAACATCGATTTTACATTTAATAGATTTTGTATTTCATCATTTCCTATTGAAAATCCATGCTACTTGTGTAAGTATACAATGTTAGTTTCCCATAYCTTTGCCCTGATTAGAGAGTTCACRCTTWACCCTTATTAAAGGGATGGAGGCAACACCAACACAGATAACACTGTCTGAGGTTGAGTCAGAAACACAGAGCAACACTTTCTCACACTGAATGTTTGCCTGAGCAGCAAAATGAATAGATCCAATGGATGTGTATCCTATATCCCCTGAAACGTGATCCACAGTTCCCTCCTCCATCTCATGCTCCCTCACCACCCTTATACCATGTCCTCTGCTGCTGGCAGCTTCCTCTGTGGTCCCTGGCAGCACCTTTTGGACATCTGGGTGATTCCACATTTACCAACTGGCAGCACAAATAATTCTACAGTTACTAATGGAAGATTATATTTCACGTAAAAAGAAAGCAATATGCTAACAGAAAGAAAAAAAGGCAACTGTTACACTGAATTATCTTCGAGTGAAATTAAGAAGCAAAGAACAAAGTACTTCCTTCAAATAAAGCAAATTACAACAACRTAGTTTTCCTGTKACTGTAGAAGCAAACTTRTTATCTGATCACACTCTGTAGTCCCTTCTTTATCACTTTATATTCCTTTTTATCCCATAATGTCCATGGAGAAATACTATTGTAACAATCACAATTACTTTAGCTATGGTTCACAGAATAAAAAATACTATTATTCTGTGGAAGGGAAAAAAGAACCAAAGTTGTTAATATGATTCAAGCTTGAGAATAATCTTTTGCCTAAATTATAATGTTTTGAAATTCAAAAAAACATAAAAGTAGACCACTTTAAAATGCAAAACTAGGTTGCAGTCCCACTGAGCAACAACCTTCAGCTTGGAGTTTTTAAAGTTTTGTTTAGTCTAAGGTTTGAATGTTTTTACAGGATACTGTCATTGCCAACCTTCTCTTGAAAACARTAATAACAGTTATTAGGTGAAAAATACCAACACCATCAAGAASTGAAGCACACATAGGCTTGGAAAAAAAAATGCCACAAAATAAGGGTGTCCCATGGAGAAGAGGAGACTGAGGGGAGACCTGATCACAGTCTACAGCTTTCTCAAGAGGGGAAGAGGAGGGGCAGGCACTGATCTCCTCTCTGCAGTGTCCAGTGACAGGACCTGAGGGAACAGTCTGAAATTGTGTCAGGARAGGTATAGGTTGGATATTAGGAAAAGGTTCCTCACACAGAGAGTGGTTGGGCACTGGAACAGCTCCCCAGGGAAGTGGTCACAGCACTGAGCCTGACAGAGCTCAAGAAGTGTTTGGACAATGCTCTCAGGCACAKGGTGTGACTTTTGGGATTGTCTTGGAGATATTCTGTTATTCTATAATTGAACACTTTAGCATCAGAATGATCCCATAAACAATCGAACTGCTTTCACTGACTTCAGTTTAAAAGTATGCCTTGAGAAAATGAAGGCTGGAAATCTCCATGCAGAGGCTGGAGCAGCTAAATCAGTAGCAGCAGAATGACATCCTCCGAGTTACAGAAGCTTCATTGCAGAGCTAGAACGGCAAACTCGGTAACAGCTTTCTGCTGCAACTTCACCACAGGGATTAAAAGCTTTTGTTCTAGGGTATTGGCATGTTTTATACCAAGGCCTGAATTATTCTTTCCCATTTCTCTCTTCATTTTTGGTTTTGAGTCATGTCTTTTGGGCTTCACTTTGAGCTCCAACATTCCCAAATCAACGTGAAGTTCTGCCAAATCTAATAAAGCTGGAACTCTAGGGTTGGTTTGTTTGGTGTTTTGGGGTTTTTTTGGTTGGGGTTTTTTTAGATTTAAGTTTCTTTTTAAGTGAGAGCAGTTTTGCAGAATATTCAACCCACACTTTATGTTTTTCAGAAAATGTAGCCAAATTTTAAGGTTGGAAATAAAACCTGAGAGTTCATGAAGACTGTTTTATTTCATTGCATGTTTTGTTATGAAAGTACCAGATGAAGTAATCCAAGATCTACTAAAGAGATTAAGATTCTCACAAATTGTGTTTTGTGACATTTCAGTGTTTGCATGACCCCCATACCTATCTCACACGACTCCATGCTATCTCGCCCTGCTGAGTACAAATTCCTCTCTGCTGCAGCTTCATTGACACCATGAAGTCAAAAAGGGACCTTTTCTATCAATGAAAGCTTTCCACCATAAGCCTTTTACTGATTGTCAGATCACCTCTCTCTACACAGTTACATTCATAAATCAGTTGTCACGGTTTGCATCATGCTGCATGAAAAAGTGATGTTTGGGTTTTTTASAGTATAATTCAGCATATCAGAAGCTGTTCTATGAGCTGCTATATGAACAGACCCTTGTACAGACAATTTGGTAATCTAAGACCYTATGCCAGAACTCAAGGTGCATCTAGGTTCCTGAAAAGAGAAATGGTGAAGATAAATAGTAATTGTTGGTCCATTTTCAGATGGGAGAGTTATTTCTAGGTCAAAGATATCCTTAAACACGCCATAAGAAATAACATGTGCATCATATACTATTTTATAATCAATTCCCACTTTTCTATTTGGGTGTRTTTTCCACATTTAATAGCTTGATTGTGCAGTAGTTAAGTAAAAATGTGCCTCACCCTGAAAGTAACTCAGTGGCTCTCAGTGTGACTGAACAATACCTTRTACTGAAATCATGAAGACAATTCAAGGAAGAAGAATTTGTCTGCAACAATTGAAGAGAAGTGTCTGCTTGTTCTAAACAAGACTTGAACCAGAAAGCTCAGTTACTTGTCTTTTTGAAGTTAGTACAGTTGACTTGAGAACAACTCCCAGCTGCATTTGAAATTAACTCATAGCTTTGAGTTGTTAATAGATTTTTTCTCAGGGAATC